GAGGGGGAGAATTACACCCGCCGAGTCCACCGATAATTCGGCGCCATCAGTTCGTAAATCTCCCGTCGCTCGCATCGCTCAAGCGATCCGTCGCTCCTGCAATTGGTGCAAAATCGCTCCAATCGCAAAGTCTGACATCGGCCTATGACCCATGCGACTCTATGCCATTGTAATACATCCAGTATTATCAGTCTCTGAAGAGAACGTCCACTCACTTCTCGAAAGCCCTTCTTGGCACTATTGCACTATTACAACCCCAGTAGGGGCGAGATGGGTCATATTTTTTCGCTGAAACTTTTACTGTGAGAGTTGGTCGATGATCCTGATCACAAATATGACATCCATTTTTGGCGCTGGCGCCAAATTGGCGCCATTTGGCGCCACAACTGATTCTCACCAAATTCGCTGTAAACTTCTGTATAGGGGTTATTTGGGGTCCTGATTACGAATATGAACATTCGTTTTTGTTGTTGCGCTATTCGGCGCCTATTTCCTGCTCGTCTGCGCCCTCGCACTAATTAGATCGCAATCAGGACTAAGCCTTTGAATAGTGGAGGGCTCCAAAGTGAGTAAGCACTCCCCTGTGGTCTAACACACTCCAACTTTTGCACACGGTGCGTGGTTTACCCACTCCGGAGTTTCACTCCCCTCCCCTAAGCTTAGTCTCTAGGCGCTATAAGTGAGAAAGCCCAGAAAAGCAGAAAATCAGCGTTTAAGAACGTGAATGCCAAAAACGAATGTTGAATCGGTAACCAGGAAGTTTATAGGAATTTGATGAAAACAGCCGTGGCGCTGATTCGGCGTCATCGTCAAAAATGGATCTCATATTCGTAATCAGGAGCATAATCTCCATAGGAGAAGTTCAGCAAAAAATTCTTGGCCCGTCTCACTCCCACTGGGTTGTAATTAGTGCAATAGTGCCCCTTCCTCAATTTTTTGCCTTTCTCTTCGTACATTGTTCTATTTGTACACTTGATACTACCACAAAAAAGAACAGATAAGGGTAAATCATTCTGACCAGGAATTGGTAGCTCGTTGTGCGGATAGTGAGACCTGTCAATACTTCTGGCAACGGCTTTGCTGATGTCTGAAACCGTCGACGGACAGGCACACTTGGCCACTTGGCGACACGAACGACATGTCTCAAGATCATCCTGAAATAAGGAGTACATAATTTATGCTCTATCAAATCGTGATTGCAAGTCGACAACCATACATGACGACAACGGCTTTCATCGGCACGTTTCCCAAAATCAGCTGATATACAGGTATTGAATACTTTTAACTTTCTTTCTTTTCTTAGCGGAAACATCCATGAAAACTCGGCTGGCATGGAACAAAGAAGAATCATGCGAAATTCTGTTACTTGCAAGAAGGAATAGCACAAAATGAGCAGCTCACAACAGTATTTTATAAACTCAAGACTTCCACTTTCAGCTCTTGCACCGCGATGGCATTGTGATGCAATGTCAAGTGGCTGCCCTCACCCCCCCTAGACTGCCTTCACTCCCCCTGGCTCACGGGGTCCCGTACTTCGAGAAACCTGTGCGCCAGGGGGAGTGTAGGCAGTCTAGGGGGGTGAGGGCAGCCACTTGATGCCCCCTTACTGGATGAGCGCCGTAACTTCTTCCGTTGGCTTCTCACAATTACTTCGGCTTAACAATTCCAGCACCTTTCAAAATTTTAAAAGTCACACAAAAAAGCCGACGAGACAACCCTTGGCGTTAAATTCCATGTACGTTGGGTTACTGCACCAGGTGCATGGAATAGAGCGGAGGTCATAATTAATGTGTTTCTACAGTCTGCTTTTTGGGTGAAGTTTTGACGAAAGTAAACGTCTTGTTAGTGGGGTTGCAATTGTTGAATATCTATTCTGGTCTCATCCAGTAAGGGGAGGGGCATGTGGTGCGACAGTTTATATTGCGTGAAGTAATCCACTTCTTCAGGGCAGCTCGGGGTGGGTGTAAGTTTAACCCTTTGACGACCGCCGTTATGAATGCGTCACTTCACTTCTTTCTAAATTTTTTCATCAATAATCATTAACTCTCCAACAATTAGTAATTAGCGCATTATTCCGCGAATTCGATGATGTATTTGTGTAGTTTTGAACACAAAAAATGCCAAAATAAACCCCTAAAAAGTGTCGCTTAGTGAAGCAAGTCTAGGGGACCCACCCCCCCCCCACCCTTACTACTTTAAAGCCGTTACTACTTTACGTTGCTCTCCGTACCGTACATTCATGTGCGCTTTACATGAGCATCGGGTTTATTCGCTGTTCAGGCTGGATAGAAACCCGGTCGATCTTTCTAGGGGCAGAGCAAGAGGTGTTTAGGACCTCCATCGTGTTTTTTATGAGCCTGCTTTTTTTTCTTTTCATGAAAAGTACTGACATAAGTGGGTTAGAACCTGGTGCTCACTAACGATCATCAAAGAGTACGCTGTTCGTTTAATGCCACTCGAAGATTGGAAGGTAAGCGAGTTGGGCCAGCAATAACATTGATAATAACACACGATTTGCATGCACTCACCGTAAAATGCTGCACGAAAATGTGAACCTTCAGATTACAGGATGGCCGGAAAGGAGGGAGTAAAACCATCTAGACAGAAGGGCACCCCAGCAGGAAGACCGAAACCAATCAAGAAAAAGGTATTTAATGGATATATTCTTACAATGCGATTTGTCGGCAAGAAATAGATTTGCAGGAAGCATTGAGCTGGAGCAAACTGGTTATAATTAGCGCCGTACTCGCTGTGGTGTCGTACTTCACATATACGGAGATCATCAATCCTTCACGTCATCTGCGCAAGCTTCAGCCGCCAATCAGCGGGCTAAGTATTGATCGTGTGGGTCTACGATGTTTTTGCACAACTAAACTTTTTATGCATTAAAATTTCTATTTGAAGAAGTAATCACTCGTACAATAGGCGTGGTTGTGAAGACAGCTCCCAAAATTGGGTGTAGACGCCTAAGATAGGCTCTACGGAGGATGTAGGTTAGGTCCGGTTTCCAACCACAAGACTGCCAGAAGGCTGGGAACTCACCCACAGCTCGCCCATCCGTAAGGCTGGTGTCAGAGTCCGCGATCCGTTTTCGTACTCACTGTTTCAAATGTTCACACACTTGCAATTTTTGCGATGCGTCGCGTGAATCGCGCAAATCGCGCAAATCGCGCGAAAATCAGCGAAACCTGCGACGGATCGCGGACTCTGACACCAGCCTAACACATCACACCGATGGCGCCCCACATGGGCGGCTGGGGGTGGGTACTCCTAGAACGATTGTTGGCCATATGGCCTGCCAGTTAAGAATAGCCTGCCGGCTGCTTATATCCCTTTTTTCAAATACTTTTGATTCAAGTGTATTAATGAAAGAGTAGGTCATAAGGAAAGGGGCAGGGTGCACAGTCTACCCTAATGCCGTTTTTGGCTCAAGGAGTCCTTGAAAGTTGTGAAACGCTCTTAACTTTGTACAAATCCGGTGTGCTGTGTCGTGCTACGTTGTATGCGATCGCTTGTATAGTCAACGGTTACAGAAAAAATGGGGTTCTTATCGACCACATACGTACTTCGGATTGCGGACAAAGGACCCACGTTCTCCCCTCTTCGGAATAATGTGGTATCAACAACCAAATGTTTTGCAAGCCCCACACATGAGGCATTGGTGTGATCAGGGTAAGTTGATATTATTTTAGTTGGGAATTCTGCATTTTATAGCGCTCCTTGAGGCATATTAGTAACATTAGTCTTTCAAGTGCTATTGCAGTGTTTTTAAGGAGATGGCCTGAAAAGTTATGGATGGTACGCAGCAGACGGTCGCACTTTTGGTCGCGAAAATGTAACCGAGCGTACCGGTCAGCTGAGTTTCGACTGGATTAATGATGCAGACACGTGGACTGCTCGAGTGCGAATTGAACCAAGGACGAGATATACAGTCATACTTTATATGGCGGCACAGGTGATTGAGTTTTCAAGTCAATCACAAAATCGTCAATTCAAGTTTCGTGTCTTTCTAATTCGGTGGAGGCGGACTCCGCCTTGTTTCTCCGACTACATTATCAATAATTACAGTGAACTTTTTGTGTATTGTTGCAGTTGAACAGTACCACAAAATAATTTCAGGAATCACAATCGAAATTCCGCTTAGGAAATCACTTGAGGGATCCCATTACTGGAAAGACATTGCTGTTTGGCGATATCAAACTCATGATAAATGTGAAAAATGAAAATGAAGTTCTTCATTCGACTTTGATTTGGGATGATGATGTGCATCTGGATCATTTGAACGAACTCATACTCATGAATACGGTGCGCATACTTGAACTTCTTTTGTTTATCTATGTTCAACCGTTTGTCTATGTTTATGTATATGTATTCACTTTATATATACATATATGTGTATATTTATTTTCTTGACTGTTTCTTGTTTATTCAGCGTGCTCTAGAGTCAGATTCCGGCCTTGTTTACCAGTTAGGACAACAGAAGCCATTCCATGAGGGCCGTTTTGTTGCCGTCCAGTTTAACATCAAAACGAAAATGGAGATGGAAATTGCCTTCAGGTAGGATAACAAAACCTTTCGCTTCAGTCAGTGTTGCTTCACATTAAGGGTAACGTCCGCAGCTGTGGGAATCTGTACGCTTGTGATTAGTCGGTACAGAATTCGGGTAGCTGAAGAACTCTAAAGTGTGGAGTACCAGTGAGAGTATGGTTATATCAGAAGCTGAGCGAGTTAAGCATCAATCGCCGTCGTTTCTGCTAGCTGGCCCCCTACATCGACACTGTTGTCAACTTTGGTGGTTACTTAACACCTCAGCTGACAACAGTGCCGCTGCTCTCCTAACAATAAGTAACCACCCTCACACTTATTCAGAATTGCTTCCTCTACTATAAATATGCATACTATAGGTTGTTCACAGCCACCAATTATAGCATAGTGTTTTAAGTATCGTATTGCGTCATACTAAACTCCTGGCGAATATTTTGAACGATGCCATTTTGAAGTTCAGAAAAGCAGCGTCACGTAGCATCGTTTCACAGAGGCTCACTGAAAATCGCAACAGAATGATAACGGAAGTTGCTCATATGTTCGCCTTTCCACAGTGGAGGATTCCACGATGAAGTCGAATAGTGGGAAACATACGTAATGGAAAGGCAGGCAATCCCTAGGGTGCAGGCCGACACGCAATTAGCAGCGAAGGACATGCCCCGGCAATCTGGCATGGCCTTCCCCACGGCGCTGTCGGCGTGACACGCCTACCGGCTGGCTATCCACTCGTTACAGGTCTCTATTCGTTTAATAAGAGAGTATTAGCGTTGGTGAGAGCAGCACCGAAGAGAGTCAGTGCAGGAATCAAGGAGCAAGGGAAGGGTCCCGTTCCCTCGTTTCTGGGCCATTTCTCATGTTTTTTTTTTCACATTCCGGCATCACTAACCTCTATCTCAATTCCAATGGGCTGCCGTCTAACATAAACTGCGCCTCTAAGTGAAGAATTCGCTGCACAAGACATCTTTTCAAATCTCACTCGTCGGTGAAGCCGTTAAGCTGTCCTCATGGTTACGATTTTAATACAGTTCTAACGCTTTAAGCACGCGGAATCATCACGCCAAAACCGGATCGCAATTTACGAAGGAGCTCTCCAAACGGGAAGAGCAATTCAATCAGCGCTTCGAGCAGAGTTTCAATTTAAAAGGCAAGGTACGTCTTCTTGAGATCTTCAAAGGTCCTCTCGGGATTTGATTGATTTCATGCATACTATACGGGGGTGGCTGAAATGTATAGTTCGTAATTTTTACAAAAATGCAATGATTACGTTCAAAGTACCATTTAGTTATTATATCTTCACATTTATCTATTTGCTGGGAGTTCAGCGAATGTCTGATTGCTTGCCTCTGTCCAGCATTTTCCCTATGCATAAAGAATGTACATAGAACATGAATCGACTGCGCAAAAACTCAAATCTAAAGTCTTATCTTGATCATCAAGAGTTTTCGAATTATTTGGTGGAGATCAAGACGTTTCAATGATTTTCGAACAGACGGCTGAATAGCTTTTGAGAGGCCGAAAGCCGTTGCACTTCTGCTTGCTAGACTTGAGTATGGAAGCGAGATGGGTTCAGATGTGCCATCTCCAGAAAATAGGTCGTTAACCTAGTCGTTCTGAACGGGTCGCCTAGTTCTAATTCGCAACGTCTCCGGTACACTCAGCTTTTAGGCAACTACACTGCGTCCCATAATTATAACTCCACCTAAGAATTTCCCAAAATCTCACAAATTTAGATGTTTAGAAAAAGTCTCCAATGTGGCAGTGTGTCAAATACAAATACGAAATTGCCTATAAACATCAACTTCCAACTTGAGATCCCAGGAATTTTTTCTAATAATTTTTGTTCAAAAGGCCACTTAGCCGACGTCCCAAAATTATAACTCCACCTCATGTTTTTCTATTATTTTTCACTTCCGTTTCGCCAAACTTTTTTATTGTGCTAACATCTACTTCTCAAGGGGACAGTATGATAGAAAATGCTGTCTGACTTTTTAAAAGGTCAGCTCGTCGCAAAAACTGTTGAACAACGCTTTCTCGCCAGATTTGGACCAAATTCACGCCAAGCTCAAGAATTTCTTCAGAGGTCTTACACGATATGGAGCTTACGAGAGCTCTAAAGGTCTCTCATTGATTTTCGATAGAAACAAAGGCCGTGTCACAGAAGAAACATCCTTTTTTAGTAAGCCGTGCTCTGCCATCGAATCTTCTTTGGAACTTAATGTCTCAACGGAACAA